TTCGAATTCCTAAATGGTTTTGAGTCTGCTCCTTCTCTGTTGTTACTGCTGCCATCATTCTAGTCTAGACACTCATCTCCAGCCTGAATTATTGCAGGAGACTCCTGGGGAGCCTCTGTGCCTCCAGGCTTACTTGCCTCTAATACATCTTCCACACTCTCGCCAGAATGATTTTTCCTAAAGCAGAATTGAAAATATCATCCCCTACTCAAAAAGCATGAGTGGTCCTCGTGACCCTGGAATGAAATCTAAATTCTTCAGCCCATCAGTCAAGTCCTTTAAGAACCTTGGCCATTTCTAGCTTCCTGTCTCCTCTAAACTAGACTATTAAACAATCTCCAAAGATTTCAAGCTCTTATAAGAGGAAAGCCCCTAGCTTTGCTCATCTGTTCCCCCTACCTGTTCACCCTCTTCTGCTCAATGAAATGTTCTCATTCTTAAAGAACCAATTCAAAGATCACCGAGTGAAATCATCCCGGCCCTCCTTTCCAAGTTAGAGTCCATCTCTCCCTTCTTTGGGCCCTCCAGGGTAACTTATGCTTCTATCCCCAAACAAAGCTCACTGGATGATTGTTTGCTGTGCACAAGCCTGTCTATCCCACTGAAGTGTGACTCCTTTAAGAACAGAGGTCACAACTGACTCATGTTTATATGTTCTGGGCCATGCTCAGAGAAGCAACGAGATAAGCCACGTTTAATGCATGATAGATTTGAAGGGCCTTTACCAAATACCATGTTGCCTATTTCCATGTATCCAAGCCAAATGCCAATATGAAAATACACAACCCCATCTCCAAACACTTTTCTCCTTGAAAATCTTTTGATTTCATGGAAAGGCTAGCTTGCTCTGGACCTTGAAGCTTCGTAAAACAGAAAGAGACAGTAAGAGAACAAATGCTCCTAAAAGTACCCCCTTCCCACACCCCCGCCCCCCCTACCATCCTAACCCTGGGACCAAGGGAAAGCTACTATAAGAATTCTCAAGGAAAGGAAAATGTTACTATTACCAGAGCAATGTTCTTTTTTTTTTCCAGTTTTACTGGGTGGACAGCCACGTCCTCATGCATGTTTAGATGCATTAAATTTCAAACCATTCTACAGCTTGGACCTCATGCTTTTTGATGACTGTAATGATCCACCTAGAGGACTGAGAAAAAGTGAACCTGAGGAAATATGAAAATCTGCCCTCAGGACAGTTCTGGTGAGAGACAGGGGCTGCAGTCCTGGGACGAAGGTCAAGATTACCTGGGAGCAGAGCTGACTGGCCTGGTCTCAGAGGTCTTCCTAACTCACTACAAGCCTCTTGCAACTCGCTGGCCCTTTCCGGACCTCAGTTCCTCAACGTCTTCAGTTTCCCAGTTTTCCACAGAGAACCCCTCCCCAGGAGTTCATGGGCCCAAGTTGAAAAGCCCGGAAATCCAGGAGTGAGTCACAGCTTTCCCTCTGCCTCGCTGTGTGATCTTAGGAAAGTCACTCCACATCTCTGAGCTCCATTTCTAGGCAGGCTCAGAGTGGAGGTGAGGATTGGCTGCCCCAGTCTGGGCTTCTTCAGATGATGTCCACACACTTTAAAAGTAGACGAGGGCAGTGAAGCAGGAAATATACACTGGGAGGTGTCTTATCAAATAAATAATACAAACCAGGAAGCTCTTGCATAGCAAACTCAACTACGGCTCTTTTGCAGGCATAACGTGATTTCCAAGCCTAAATTATAGCGCGGAGCCTCCCAAGATTGAGTGAACTGAGAAGGACAGAACAACTTGGAGGCATCAGAAGATTAAAGATGTCCACTCACAGGAATAAAACCAATAACCCAGAGTTCTGTAGAGTCATGGAAAAAGGAGTCCGTGAAAAGTTTTCAGAATGTCGGATTTACTCTAATAGTGGATAGAGAAGGACTGTGGGGAGATATTTTAAAAAGCTTTCGTAACTTCCCCAAGTTTGTAATTTTGTCACTCGTTGCCTGTTTCCTGGGTGGGATTTTTTTTAAACTACTAGTTTAACTATTAGTTTAAACTACTAGTAGTTAAAAAAAATCACACACAAAAGAGAAAAGGTGGTCAATATCACTAAACATCAGGGAAACACAATGACATATCACCTCGCGCCTGCTAGAATGGCTACCATGAAAAAGACAAGTTACAGCAAGTGCTGGTGAGGACGTGGAGAAAAGGGAAGCTTGGGCACTGTTGATGAGACTGTACATTGGTGCAGTTACTATGAAAAACAGGATGGAGGTTCTTCAAAAACTTAAAAATAGAGCTACCATAGGATCCAGCAATTCCACTCCTGCGTATATATGTAAAGAAGATGAAATTATCATCTCAAAAAGATATCTTCACCTGCATGTTCACTGCAGTATTATTCACAATAGCCAAGATATGGAAGCAAACTAAACATACTTTGATGTATGAATGGATACAGAAAATGTGGCATATTTATACACGTATAATGGAATATTATTATTCAATCATAAAAAAGAAAGAAACCCTGCCATTTGGAACAACATGGATGGGCCTTGACAGCCTTATGCTGAGGGTAATAACTCAGATAGAGAAAAGACAAATACTGCATGGTCTCACTTATATGTGGACATCAAATTCATAGAAACAGGAGAATGGTGGTTGCCAGGGACAGAGGGGTGGAAGAAATGGGGAGATGTTGGTCTGAGGGTACAAACTTCCAGTTGTAAGAATAGGTTCTGGGAAACCTAATGTACAACATGTTGACTGCTTAACAGCAACAAAAAACCCCATACAACCAAATAGCAAGTCAGTTGGGAGCTGGCAGGTGTGGCCTCTTGCTCCCCTGCGGACCTGGCCTGAGAGAGAGTGAGTAGAAAGGGAGAGACATGCAGAGACACGCAGATGAGAGGGAACTGGAATCCGTCATGAGGACTGTCATTTACCAGCCAGTAATCATGTACCAGGCCTTTTATCATGTATTTCCTCACTCAGCAGCCCTAGGAGATATGTACGGCCATTATGTCCACTGTACATTTGGAGGAAACTGAGATTTAGAAAAGGACAGAACAAGAGCCTGAGATTCTAAAACCAAAGCAAAAGAAAACAAAACCAAAAAGCCAAAAAACAAAAACACAGCATAAAATGGTGGGGCTGCATCTCTCACTCTCTAATCCACTGCCACCCAGAAGACTGTGAGAAGAAAGGACTGGAAATAAAGGATTTGGGATATTACTATGGCAGTAAAACTGAGGCCGAGGCATAATCGGCAGAGGACTTAATCCCAGGCCACCTGATTATATTTAGGAAATGACGTAGTGACAGGGCTCTCTTCGCCCTGGTTTCAGAGTCCCTGCCCAGGACAGAGAATGTGTCTTTGGGGAGAAATTTGGGGCCATTTCACACACTCCTGCAGCCAAGCAAGAAATGAAATTAATCTCAGGCTGGATGCAGTGATTTGAGTTCTTAGCTACCTGCAGGGGTAAGAGTTCATATTTCCTGAACAGACTGCCTTTAGCTGAGGGCAGAACCTATGAGAATTTTTACTGTTGTTATGGTTGCTTGAACATACGTATATTCATTGTCACATTATTTTTCGCTGTGAGCCACCACAGGATCTTGTGTGCATTTCCCTGTGCTTCACATTATAATCTTGTTTATCTATTCCACTATCCTTTATCACTTTTCTACTTGCTACCGTCTCTTCTGTCAGAAGACAGCCCCCTACCCTCACCCCAACCCATGACAAAGAAGGTTTGGGTCTTTGGCACCTGGTTATCAACCTGTAGTCCAGATTTCCCGTCTTCCCGCTGTAGGAGTTCAGGCATGCCAGAGCTTCTCAAAGTTAGCTCACCCTTGCATTTCATCTTGATTTACAGTCTTCATCCAAAACCTACCCCCTTCCACTCACTCTTGTCTGCCCCTCCAATTCCATCTTCCGAGCCTTTGTCCGTGATGTTACATTGCCTCCTCCTCAGAGGTAAAGGATGGTTGTTTTCTGACTAATAAACAGACAGACACCCTAACTCTTTGGTAATCAGACCAACAAACAAACGAGATGACGTTCTCTCCTCAGGAGATTGAAAAGAATTAAACAAATGATCCTATGGAGTGTAGGGAGGATACCGGAAAACAGATACTCGGGGGGTGGGGGGCAGGGAGTGGGTTTCCGAAGGACAATTTGGTAATAGCTATTAAGTTTAAAAGCCCACATTTCTTTCAGCCTAGCATTTCTCCTTCTTGGTCAGCACCCTAGCTAGAGAAACACTTGCATAAACACTTAATGAGGCCCTTGCCTGCAAGGATGTTCACTGCAGACTGGAACAACCTAAATGCCCCTCAGTGGGCAGTGGACACTCTAAGTACCCAGGGTATAAAACAATGTAACAGCAATTTAACATAGTGATGCAGATCTACATGGACCACAAAACAAAGTGGCCCGATGCATACTGTTAGGCAAGTGAAAATGCAGAAGGCTACACACAGTAAGATAGCATTTAAAAAAAATCCATACACAAAACAAAATTGTATATTTCTGTATCTACACCCACACATAAGGGAATAGGAAAAGTTCTAAAGGATGATCATCTTCAACTAACATCAGTGATTAATTCAGAGGAGGAACTGGGATTAAAGACAGGGAGTCAGAGAGAATGTTATTTCTACTTAAAAAAACCCATATCCCTAACAAAAATAGACGAGTGGAATATTGGCGTGATTTAAAATACAGCAGTAATATTTTGAAAAATGAATGGGTGACTTTCCTCCTAGGGTTCCTAGTTTCAGGTCGGAAGTGACTGAGGAAGAAGGTGGGGGGAGGGGTCCGAACAGAGGGGTTTCAGAAACGGGGCAGAGAAGGGAGGGAGTCAGCTTTGATGCTTTGATCATGTTTCACTTTCATCTCAGCTTGTGGGAGGCTGCAGGATGTGACCACAGTGGGACCAAAATAGCAGCATCCCAAGACAAGCCTGCGGCGGCGGATGACAGACTGTTCCCACGGCCAAAGACAAACCACTCGCAGGCACACAGCCCCCTTACCTCTTGGCTGAGAAGTCACTGACTCACTCATGTCCCACAAAGTTGACTGGACTACCCAACCTTCGGATGTTGGAAAAAACAAAGGAAAGGAAAAACAAACATAAGTAGGTGCCTGTCTTCCTATTTGATGGGCCCCATTGTCCCCCTAAACTGACTTCTGTCATAAAAAGAAAAAACAGGAGAGCTAATGTTCACTGAGCATTTAGTACACTCCTGACATTGTTCTAAGTGATCTATGTGCATTCTCTCATTAATCCTGAGGAAGAGACACGGGATAGGTGTTTTATTATTCTCATTTGACCAGTGAGGCAGCGAAGGCCCAGAGAGATTAAGTAACTTTCCCAAAGTCACACAGCAGGTAAGAGGCACGGTTTGTACCCACGCAGTGTGAACACACACATGAACCACCCTCCTACCCTGCCTCCCCTTGTCTTACTATCACAAGCATTGATTTCTTTACCCCATAGATGTCTTTTTCCCTCTGTCTGATTATAAGCCCCATTAAGGTAACAGCTACCATTTGCCTGCTTAGTAAAATGCCAGGCATGAATCTAAGTTCCTTATATGCATGAAGTTACACAACCAGCCAGAGACCCCCGGGGAAAGTAGCACAACGGGCAGTCAAGCCCAGGCAGTCCCCTATGGCTCCTCCGAGGCTGTGAATCATATCTTATTTTCAGGGAATTCTCTGCCCCCGGGCCCTTGTAAATACCTTAAGAAGTCTGGCTGGATGGATGAAAGCACAATTGAATGAAAGAATTCTCCCTCCCCTACAAAGAGCCAATAAGTTAAGTGAGTACTCCCCTCGGGGCTTTCAACAAAGAAGACCCGTATGCTTGGAACTAGGGTGAGATGGTGGAGCGTGGCCAAGCACAGGGTGGGAAGGCAGATATTCTAGAGACGTGCTACCAGGGAGCACTGCCTGAATGCATCAAGGTCATGGGTCTTCTCTGTCTGTCTGTCTCAAATCTATAGGGACAAATGAGTCATCAGTGTGTTCTTGACACCAGTTTGTCCCAGGCGGGCATCATGGTGCACAGGATCCAACAGTCATCTCTAGTCATCGGATTCAGTGATGCTCTATTCAGTGTTCCTCCTCAATCTAAGGGGCGAGGAAAGAAAAACAGAGAGCCGGGGCCACATACCTTTGGCTGTGAATAAAGCAGTGTCTCCAGAAGTCTCCTCAGTGCTTCTCTGAGAGGTGCTAGAGGGAAGGACAGTTTCAGACTCTGGAAGAGAAAAAAAGTTTGATAAAAAGCAGCAAAAAATAAGTGTGCTAAGTGGTGGGATTCAGGGCTATTTTTATAGTGGTCTGTGCTTTTCTATAACTATTTCAGGTTTTCTTCAAGGATTGCAAGTCTTTCTTAGAATCTAGGGAAAAAAAGACAAATGTTTTCTAAGATGATTATTTTAAAGGCCAAAGGAAAAAAAGTACGTATAAAAATAGACTTAGGGTTCACGGACTTCAGGTGACTACTCAGAGTATAACAGAATTAGCCAACTCAATACTGTAAAGTTTAAATTAGCCCAGACCTTATTAAGGCAGCTGAAATGCCTCAGCTTTCAAGCTATCTCATGACCGTTTTCTCATATTCTTATCTCAAAATCAGAGGTGGACACGTGGTGGGAGCTTTGATAAGCCCTTATATGGAGCTAGTAATTCAGTGAGAAGTCCAAGATGCAGGATCAGGAAGGATTCAGGAGGGAGGGAGGGAGGGAGGGAGGGAGGAGAAGAAGGAAAGGAAGAAAGGGAGACCTAATTCATCATCAAGGGGAGTTTTAAGGCATCTGGTGGACTTTCCTCAACCAATTTCTAATGCTCAAGTCAAGACTTAAGCCCTGGCAGGATGGAACTGGAGTCTGACCCAGGGTGACATTTCCTTGTTCTTCAATAAGCGTCTCCAAGACTCCTGGGAAGTCAACTGGAGAACCCAAAATGCTGACCCTTCAAAAGCAGAAAGGGAAAAAACAGCAACACAAAAGGAAACTGTAAGACAACAAAAAGGAACAATTTAGTGAAACCACACACACACACACACACACAGTTATGGGCTGAATTTTGTCCCCCTGCAGACTTGTATCTTGAAGCCTCAACCCCCAGTAGCTCTGAATGTGACTGTATCTGGTGTAGAGCCTTTAAAGAGGTAATTAAAGTAAAATGACGTTATATGGATGGGCCCTGATCCACTCCGACTAGTGTCCTTATAAAAAGCTAGGACACAGACACACACAGAGGGAAGACCATGAGAAGACACGGGGAGAGGACAGCCATCTACAAGCCAAGGACAAAGGCCTCAGAAGAAACCAACCCTGTTGGTACCTTGATCTCAGACTTCTAGCCTCCAGATTTGGGAGAGAGTAAACTTCTGTTGTTTAAAGCCACCCCATCTGTGGTATTTATTATGACAGCCCTAGCAAACTAACACACAGACACAGACACAGACGCACACCGACCGCAGAGCAAATTGCTGGGCTGCCCCATTCAGTAGGAGAGCCCTCTTCCCAGGGATCTAAGCTACAGGTGACCAGCAGAAGGGATAGAATGGCCAGGTGACCCAGGTACCTGCAGTGAGGACGGGCCCTTCGGTGGGAGGCTCAGGGGTCAGAAGAACCGTGTCTTCCTCAGGAAGGGAGTTCAGTGTTGTTGGAGGACACGTGGTTGCCACTGTTGTGAGGGCAGTGGTGGTTGCTGTCTGAGGTGGTTCCCTGGCTGTGACCTCAGGTGTAGTCATGACTGTTGTTGGAAGCACAGCTAGGGTTGTCATCACAGGAGTGGTGGTGGTGGTGGTTGGGCGGCGGGTGGTTGTTGCACGCATGGTGGGGGGAGCTGCAACCAACAGAAGACACATCTGGTACCAAGCGGAGATGGAGGAAGAGGGAAACAATACAAATACAGCTGGCATCCGCCTGTGTCTCTGTGTTTCTGCTGCCTTCACCTGGTCCACGCACCTGCTCCACTGTCTTGCCTATGAAAACTGAGTTTCCTAGCTCTAGTCTTGGCCTTTGTGATCTGTTCTTTACACTGTGGCTAGAGTACTTATTTTAATGACAAAACTAATTACATCAGTCCCCTACTTAAAACTTTTTTTTTTACTGGGTCCTCCTTGCCCTTGAGATCAAGACCCAGCCCCCGACCTCACCCACAAGGCGCCACCTGGTCTGGCTCTTTCCTTCCAATCTCAGGTCTTAGTCTACTCTTCTCATTGTCCCCCAGCCCACTGGCCTTTCTTCTGTTCCTTGACCGAGTTAGTGACCTTCCAGCTGGAGGAACTCGGTACCTACTGTTCCCTACATCTCTCTCTGTGTTAGACTAACTTCCACTTAACCCTCAAGTCTCAGCTGAAAGGACATTTCTGCAAGGAGGTCATCCATGTTCTAGAATAACAACTTTTTTTGCCCTCTCATACTTCACCTTCACAGTATTTGTTGCATTTCCTAACGACACATCTCTTTCTTGATCATTCTTTAATGTCTGCTTCTCCTAGTATGCTGAAAGCTCCATGAGGAGAAAGCTGCTACTCATTTTGTTCTCAGCTACAAATCTAATAACTACCACAGTGTCCGCATGTAGCAGGTGCAGAAACATTGCATGAGTGAGTAAATGGACGATCGCATCAAAAGGGACCCCAAACGTAACATTCCAATCATGCAAGGTGAGTGAGCGCTAGAGATTGGCTGCACTCATTGTACCCCTAGTTAACAACAGTATATTGCACACTTGAAAATTTGTGATTCAGGCAGAACTCATGCTAGTTAAAATAAATAAAATTATATCTACAATAAAATTAAATTAAAATCTAAAAAAACAAAAAAAAAAACAAGCCCAAAGAAGGCAACATAGGGTGAAAGTATAGCCTCTTTCGGATATTAAAGATTGGTTCACGTCACCACTCACCCCGTCAACATTTGAATTTGGGTTCATTCGCCGTAGTTATTCTACAGATACAACCCTCTCTGAAATTGCCAACTTTCCATTAACTTTAATGGATCAGAAAGGCACCATTAGTTTCCAGTGAACTTAGACGTGACCTCACAGAGTATTGAGGTCAACCAGTATTTTATAAAATAGCTGGTTATATCAGGCTTGAAAAGTGAAGACTTGGATTGGCATCATTTGACTTCAACAAATCCAAATAACACCTTCTATCTTACAAAGTGGCTCTGAGAGACTCATACACCAATGCTTATGAAAATTCTCTAATGGGAAGCATCCACATCAGTTGTTCTCCAATTTTAGAGAATTAGAGCCACCCGAGATGCTTGGTAAGCGTCTGGATAGCCAGACCCTGCCTTCCAAGATGCCGGTCCCGTTAGGAACAGAGCCCGGGAACCCTCATCCCTGGTGCAGGTTAACACGGAGCCGACATGGAGACGCCTCATCCCAGACAAGCAGGAATCGCGATCGTTGTTAGCACACCTCAACCATAGGCTGCGCCCCAAGCAGCTCAAGTCTGTAGGAGTACCACCATATTTCAAATTTCATCAAAAGCAACTGACAGTCACAGGGAGAACACTTCAAACCTGCTGTAACCGTCTCCAAATCCCCCTCACCTTTTCCCTCTGCCAGAAGTTGCAAACTATTCATTTAATGGGCTGAAGCTGGCCCATGGACACATTTTATTTCGTTCACCCAGTGTGTTTGAAAATTTTGAAATCTTTGCCAAGATGCCAAAATCAATATAGTTCACATAAAAATGGGGAGACCTGCAAACCCTGGGCCCAAATTTCTGTGGCCCCCTTGACAAGCAGCAGCTGCTTCAGATGGAACCTGCAATTCACTAGTTCTCTTCCCCCACCTCTCACCCTCTCCTCACTCACTTCTGTGGCCTCCTGGGCTCCCAGGGGTGCTTGCTCCAGACTGTGGCGCCTCTACTGGTAAACACGTCTCGGATTTAATCTGCCCGCTCATTACTGGAGCAGCTCCAGCCTCTCCAACACCACCCACTGACTCCGTCTGTCACCCATCCATCCACCGCAGAACCTCTCCTTCCGCAGACACGCGCCCCTGGTGCTCACCTTTCCGCAGCTGCAGCCGAATGTTCTTCTTTACATCGTTGAACCAGCCAGGCACCTCTACGCGGCAGCAGTACACACCACTGTCGCCTTCGTTGGTGTTGACGATGGTCAAGGAGATGTCCCCTCTCCCGATACTCCCTTGAAGTGCATATTTTGCTGACTTCTTCCAGAGCACACGCGACCCGTCGGTGTAGAGAAACTCCTCGGTGCATCTGGATTTGGGGCACTGGCCTTTGCCCCAGCACATGCTGTTGCTGTGATGAGACCAGGAGGAGTATATGCAGGGCAAAGTCACTGACTGACCCAAAAACGCTGTCACGACAATCTCTGATGCTGCTGGAGCTGTGAGGAAAGATGAGAAAACTAGGTGGTGAGGTGCTCAGACCTCTCAAATATGCTCCACAGGGATTGTGCAGATTGATGCTTCTGGGAAGATGAAGAGTCGTGGTGTGTACGTTTCTTTGGCCCAAATTCTGGCATGCCCTTCGCTGCTGCTGAGCTCCTAACCCCACACCCTTCCATCCCTCAAGTGGAAAGAGTTGACCACCTGAGTTTCTGAACTCATCTCCACAGCACGACCTTTTGCCGATTTAAAAATTCTGATCTTGAGTACCATTCAATAAACCAGTAAATTCTCCAGTGAAAAATCCTGACTCTTTAACCCAGTTCCACTAACTCATATAACAAGGTCCCCAAACCAGCACTCTACCCAGTGTATCTCAATAGGCAGTGACATGTCCTACGGACTTGGATGCTTCAAATGGGTCTCCTTCTGTCTTCCACATGCAGGCCATGGCAGGAAGACAGCCTGTTCAACTCTGTTCCGCTGTCCAACTCCCCTTGTACTGCTGGATATAGAAATTGATTGCTCTGGACCATTTGTTGTTAGAGAATATGAACTTAGGCAGAGTTTGTGGATTTTTTTTTAATGTTAGAACTGGAGGAGAATCACAGGAGTTATTTAGAATGGCAGCTGTGACTTTAAAATGCTGGAGGATTAGGTTTAACTATGTTAGCTCTGTGAAATAAAACATATCACCGTCTCCAGAATGAAGTATCTGTGTTTCCCAACTTCACCTGCTCCTCAGCATGACCTGGGGGAGCTTGCTAAAATTACCTATTTTATTGCCCAACCCTGAGTCAGAATCTCTGAGGTTGAGACCCGTGGAAGTGTACATCACCAGGTTCTCCAGGTCATTCTGCTGTCACTGACCACTCACTCAGTGTTTGAGGACCACCGGACAGCCTCTTCTAAGACTATCTCCGTCTCTGAGGATCTGTGAAAATTTTCACTGCTGCAAATGGGAAGCCCCTTGGTTTAACTGAGCATCAGTGATTGTTCTAAACCAAATCATGCTGTTGAAGGCAGAGCCAGGCAAATGTAGCTCCAGATCATAAGGAGGACATCCTGCTCCTTCTTGGGTACCTAGATCTCTGCTCACTGTGATCTTCAAGGTATCCTCCTGTAAGGCTTTCCACCCACTAGCGCTGCGAACCCCGTTGGCTATGTTGTATGAGACGTGGCCAGCGGCACCCTGTTTCTCCCTGACCCAGGTGTCACAAACTTCCAGCTATTCCTCTCTGGGAGAAGGTGAGCAGAGCCCTAAGAGTTGCCCAGGGAGGAAGCAAAACGAGATACTTGCTGGGTTTTTCAGAGTGGGCTCACATGATCAAAGGTCAGTCCAAATTCAGACCAGCCTGGAGCCTTCCCTGAACTCATCATCTCCTTCCTTTGCCACAGTGGAGATGTTTCACAGACTACAAACGCTGTGGAAGCCCATTCTGCCCCGCAAGAAGCCAGGAAAAAATTTGTCATCACCCTCAGCTGTGTTAGCTATGCAGAACACGTGCACTTGAAACCAATACCTTCTAAAATATGAGCTTGTTCCTATGAACATTTGGTAAATTAATAAAAAATATGGGACAGAATTATTTCTACACGGAGATTCAACATCTTATTTTCCCAAGTACCACAATGTAGAAGGGGGCATCAGACTACTCACAAAGAAAGACTCGATAGAAAAACTGGCAAAGGATAAAACAGGCAATTCAAAGGTAAGGAAATATGAATGGCCAGTAAATTTTACCTATTAGACTGGTAAAAATTTAAAACACTGATAATATCAAGTGTTGGCCAGACAGGGATCTAGGAGATGGCTTAGCCTACCTGGAGTGAAGTGGGGTGTGAATGCAAATAGCCATATTCCGGGGCAACGTGGCAGTTTCTGTCAACGCTAAATATGCATGTGACCTAGCTGAGCCTGGGCGATTTCCTGTTTTGTTCTCTACTCTAGAAAAGCACACGTGCACAAGGAGACCCATCTGCCGATGTGACCGTAGCGTCATAGGTACGCCAATGAAATGAACAACGTGTGTGGGGGCGTGGCCAACCTGCGGCACAGTCGTTCCATGGAACCACATCTAGAAAATTAATAGAATCAGAGTTGTATCCGTCGGCGTGAAAACGCCAAGCCTTATGAATGCATGAAAAGGGGAAATTTCAAACAGACACATAAAGAACAAACCCTTTTATAAAATAAATAAACCAGTTTGCAGGTTTTTGTGGGCACAGATGTGGGCAGGTAAATGTCTAGAAAAGTTTCTGGTGGGACTACACAGCCAACTCTGTGTCAGCACGTCCGCGATCAGAGGCGAGGGCCTGGGGTTGGGGGTCGTAATCAGAGGGATTTTAGCTTTACAGCATTTTAATTTTTCCACCGAGGGGGTTTCTGTATTACTCATTAGATTAAAAATAAATGTTTAAAAAAAAAAGGAAGCAGGTGTGGCAGGAAAACACCCATTAGACTTACAAGGAAAACCTCACTCTGCCAGTTACTGGTTTTGCTTTCTTTGGAAGACAGCCACAACAATCCTAACCTTATTACCAACACAAAACAGCGGGGCCAGATGATCCTCACCTCAGAAATCCTTCTCAAGTTCCGACGAGATGAAGTGTTCGACGCCACATGAAATTACTAAACGATTAGTGAGAGTAACCAAGCACTTCAGAATTTATAATTAGGATAAGAAACTGTTCCTTCCAGCTGTAAAAGTATCCTTGGAGCAAAGGATCATTGGTATTAAACCAATTTCCCTCTTTCAGGAATCACCCAGGATAGTAGCGAAAACCCAGATTCCAGTGCCAGCCTGGTTCCTTCTCTAGCTGGTGACCTTAAGCAAGGCACTTCCCCAGTCTGGGTTCTCAGTTTCACCATCTACGGAATGAAGGGTTTGACTTGGCATCTTTTAAGAGCACATCTTGCTCTGATCCTCGGTATGTCTGAGCAGTCAGTGTCTTCTAAAACGGTTGTTTTTAAAAAGGCAACCAAAAAAAAAAAACAAACAGAGATCATTCACCAGATGCTCCCTTCTTCAAGTATAGTTGAAGCCCACTCAGTCAGTGTCCAGCTGGCAGCTGGAAATGTGGACATAGCAACTTTCAGCATCACCAAACCCTCCACTCCGACAGCTCCCCGGACAAGATAAAGACCAATCAAAAACAATGATAAGGAAAATGACAAGAAACGCTTTCATCCCCTTAACTCTGAAAGAGGGTCTGGGGAGAGAGGAAGCTAAGTGAGCAATTACTGCAGGGTGACAAGTTCCCTAACAGGGGGCTCCAGGGCGGACTGGAACTTGTAGCAGAACCACTTAAACCAGTTAGGAAGCTACGGGTGGTCAGGAAAAGCCTGACTTAGGTGGAGACCTGAGGGTGCACGGAGTTACAGAGGAAAGAAAGGCCGAAAGAACACTATGACAGAGGATTGTTTCTCGTGGAATGTTGGTGTTTTCTCCTGGAGCACATTTGAAAGATTCATGTGCAGGTAACGATGAACTTTTAAAACTACAAGGGACATTAGACATTGTCTAATCCTAAAATCATGGATAGTTAAAACTGGTCTTAACCAGGTCCCTCATTTCATGCATGGAAGGGCCATTGTCCCCAGTGTCAATGGTTAGGGACTGAGACATGACTCCAGCTCAGCCCAGAGCCTTCCGCCCTACAGCAGCAGGATGTGAAGGTTTACAAGGGTCCACGCCAAGTGGACATTTGCATCATCCCAAACCTGAGAACAACGTGTGGAAAAGATAAACCTCACCTTGACGCCTGACTCCCAGCAAAATAAAACAAAGCAAGAAGCAAACAAAAACTCCTAAAGATAAAGAGAAAAATAAGAATTATAATAAGGGCTTTTACCAGAACAAATTCCCCTGGCTCTGACTGTGCCAATGATACCTGCAAAGGAAGTTTCCCCATTTTATCTGACCCTTTATTTTTGTGTCTCTATTTAAATTGCCATTTCTGGTACGAACATAAATACTCCCACCCTAAAATCCCCAAACCGGTCTCAGAATAAACCCCGTGTAACAAAGGAAGGGAGAAACTCTCCAAAGAAGAGACCTCAGTGGAGGCAGGCATGAAGCGGGCTCCTGCCTCGCCGAGACCCAGATCAGCCATGTCAATCCATCCCAGCGACCCCAGCGTGGATGGCCTGTGGACACTTACTCAGATAAAGCCGCCCGAGCTCCATCACCAGCCAGAGAATCAGAGGCCCTTGGGACATTGTGACTGTTGGCAGGCTCCAGAAAGCTGTCGGTCTGTCCCAATTCCATGTCTTATACTCCAGTTAATGCTGACAGGGCGGGACCTTGGGGTTTCATTTCTCTTTTTGCCTCATAATCTTCCCTTTCCCCCTCCTGAAGGGCCTCGCTCATTCTGGGATGTGTGATAAAATGTGCTGTGCTCTCTCTCCTGGCCGTGAGCACGTGTGTGCACACGGGTGGAGCGGCGGCGTGGGTGTACGTGTCCTCCTTGTCGGCTCGGGTGTGTGGCGGGGTGTGTGAGGGGTGTGGGGGTCCTACAGGCACGTGCGCATCTCTGCATGTGCATGTGTGTGCACGTGTGCGTCAGAGATGCATCGGCCACAGGCCTCCTGCCTACTGCGCAGCTGACGATAAAAGGCAATTAACTCTCCCTGCTGGTAGTGGTTCACACCTGGACTCCGCATCAGAGCCAAAGGAGAGTGAGACAGGAATTTGACTCTGCTCCCATTCTGGGCTCTCTCTCACCCAGACTCTTGGCCCCCTTGCCCTGATAATGGAGACAGAAAAGCAGGACTGCCATCAGCCATCACATAAGCCAAAACCATGGAGTTTATGGGGCCAGGAAAGAGAGGGTCAGCAGAGGAAGCCTATGGTGATAGTTACAAGACAGGCTGAGGTAACAAACAAACCCAAGGTCTGGGCCATTCTGCCACTTGGGAGTGAAGCCACTGGATGGGGAAAAAGCACAAAAGACAATTCATGAACTGGGTTTCAGGCTTGAACCAGATGAGATTTGTGACCCTTCTGGACTCAGCCATACATCCAGCACCACAAAACCTGTTAGAGGAGGAATCAAATCAATGCTCACCAACCAGGTGTATTTTCTAAAACAGGTTCATCTCATCCTCGTTAGTTCTTGAATGCTTACTCACATGCCAGGCACTCTGCCACATGATCTAGATGTATGATTTAGCGGTCACAACCCCAAGAAAAAGATAGTATTATTTTCCCCATTTAACAGATGAGGAAACTGCAGCTTAAAGGAGTTAAGTCAATGATGTTCACAGCAAAAATGTTGCACAGAGCTCAAACCCAGGACTTTCTGATCCCAAAGTCCCTGCTCTTAATCACTACACCCTTCTTGGATCTGTGACCCGGAGGGTAACGCACCATGAGACCAAGCATACCAGCGGCCAGCTCCTATCTAGTCCCAGAGAAGGAATTTAAGAATGCATGAATGTTCAAGATTAAAAAAAAAAGTTATTTGATTGTAACCAGCCAAACAAGGCTTAAAACTTCAAATTGCTCACCCTGAAGATATTGGTGAAAATACAAATACTGGGTGAGGCTATGGACTCAGAGAAGCCAGAAAACAAGGAGGAAGGAATGAAAAGAGAGGGACTCAGAGACAGTCTTTCCACTGAATGCCCCCAGAACTGTCCTTTTCCCACCCTATTCCCAGGAAACTGGGGGACTTAATCTCTGGATACAGTAAATGCCCCAAATAAAACCCTCAAAGGTACTGATATTTGGGTGTCCTCTGACAGTATCACCCAGTCCCTCTTTAATAAAGGCACCCGTGCACGAATCTCAGTCACACATGCTTGCACTATCAATTAGTTTTTAGGGTGTCACTGTATGATATGAACAGACAACCAAGAACCTTCAGACATTGTGGGCAAGTTCTTCAGTCTGAAAAAATACAAAAGCAACAGAGAGAGCAGAAGAAAACTAAAAAACACACACACTAATATCTTTCAAGAAAAAAAGAGAAAGAACAGAGAAGCTATAAAAAGGAAAAATAAGAGAAAAAGAGCTCTTAGAAATTAAAAACATTATACTTAACCCAAAATTTTGTGGACGGTTTGAAAAGTAAATTTAAGGATGTTTTTCTAGAAAATGGAACCCATCTACGAAATCAGACGACTAGAGGTCTTTCAGACTGCTAGGTATTTTGAAAATAGATTTTGTAAATCTTTGACAGATAGAACATTTGAAATGAATTTGGATGGATAATTAGGAAATTAAGAAAACGGAAAAAACGAGGCAATTACTACAACCAGGAACAATAAAATGTCGTAAAAGAAAGAATATGTAATTATAGTACATTTATTCAATGTGAAAGATAGTTGTAAGGTCAGAATTATAAAAACTCTGGCTACTGGTTTAACATAAAATGGTTATATGACTACATTGGAAAGATAGGCGGAGAGAAAGTTGGGGTGGGTGGATGCAAGAATGTCAAACTGTTATTTACCCTTACAGGAGGTCAACAGATAATGTCTAGATTGATCAAACACTACCAGCCCAAGCACATTATTAGTAATATGGAGGTAAGAAACAGAAGAAAAAAACTTGAAGAGTTTAAATTTTATCAGAAGGAATAGGAAAGGAATTTGCTATAGTCTAGTAATAAGCCTTTTAAAATAACTAAATTACTCTAAGTAATTTACAGTAATTTATTTATATGTTATTTAGACTACATGAATTTGTCAAATGTACACACTGAGCACACCTAGCACCCAGCTCTTAGTTTCTAATACCATTCTCCAGTAGAAGGAACTAGAGCTCCTTGGAAAAGTGGCCGATTCTAGGAGAGAGGCAGGAAATGTTTAAGGTGAGTCTAGCATCTTACAGCACTGGAAAGTATGGAAGGGCTAAACAAATTAAAACAAAAATCTACAGTTTAACAGTAGGATTGTTAAAGGGCCAAGGAGAAGCTAAAAGAGCTCCCAAGGACCAAAGCTGGAACAAAATTTTAAAAATAGAACTGGATTATAACCCAAAGTATATAATAAATACCAATGAACCCAGATGGATATAAACAAGTGATTGAATCAATAAAGTGGGGGAGAAGGGACACATCTTCTCCCTGGAAGAATTGCAAATAACTCATGCAGATACTCCCTCCTCGAGGACGTGAAGCGTAACTCCCACTCCTTAATTGTGACCTGGACACAGTGAACTTTTCCCCAACAAAATACAGTGTGGAGAGGGAGAAAAAAAGACTACCTTCCCAGCGGAGGAACTTGGCAAACCCTGCTGCAGGCAGGAGGTCAACATCAACATCAGAGATAAGGCATGTTGACAGTACGGCCTTATCTGTACGGATAAGATGTGATGTAAATGGCCCTTGACCTCTGCGGGTTTTCCTCCCAAGAACCCATAACCCAGGTCAAGGTATGAAAAAAACATCAGACACAGACTAGCTGAAGGGCATTCTACAAAATACCTCTGGACATTGGTCAGTGATGGTTGTCAATGTTCATCCACGAATTGTAACAAATATACCAGGCAAAGGTAAGATGGTAACAGTAGGGGAAACCAGACGTGGGGTGTATGGGAGCTCTCTGTGCTCTCTTCACAATTTTCTCTGTCAATCCGAAGCTGTTCTAAAAGTTTGTTTTTTAAGAAGTGCATATATTTTTATCTTAGAAATGAAAATGTTAATAGTAATTTGGAATCTGGAAGGAGTCGTGCACTGGAAAATAGAATAAGCTTTGTTTTCTTCTCTTTCCAAGATAGGATAAGTGGACAGGCTTTGGAGAATTCACAAACATACTAATATTGGATGCTTCATTTGTATTACTATGTTAAAGCATATTATTTTTGAGAGAGGGTCCATATGAGTTCTAAGCGTTTCATGTCTCTGCCAACTTCTTTTTCTGTGTATGGAATTTGCCTCTGGAGACCAGGTGCTCCCTCTTTCTCAGTCAACACAGTTCAGTCGGCACTGATTTCATTTGTGGTCAGGGTGATTGGCTCAAGGATGGACAAGTGACCCAAACAAAGCCAAGGATACACACAGTCTTATCACATTTACTGGAACTTTTGAGCAACAGGGACCCTTTCTGTCTTCCACTGTTCTTTGGGCTGTGAGGACATGAGCTTGAAGCCACTGTTAGTCATCGTGCCACCAATGGGGGCAGTCTGCTTGGTCAGAGAACCCAGAAGGCAGAAGGCAAGTGGAGAAAGAGACAAAACCTAGACCTCGACAAGGTTTGAGCCTCTGAAATAAGGCACATCAGTGTGCCAATAAATCCCACTGGGGGCTTAAGCCAATTTGTGTTGAGCTTCCTGTCATTTGGGATCAGAAGACCCCCAAGTCTAAACCTAGAAGGACCTCTACAGAGTGGCAGGTTAACAGACAATATAGCACATTGTGATAAGATGTGACAAGGAAAGGACAGAACACCATGGAATTGTTGGGAAAAGACTCCTAGCCCAGTTTCAAAGATGGAAGGAGAGAGTCAAGGACACCGTTAAAGTCTAGACCTAAAGCACATTGGAGATGACTGGGGTGGGTTAGAAAGAATTTCAGGCAGAGTGAGGAGCATATAAAAGTTCAGTGGTGATAACTTCAAGGCACTTGGGACTAACTGAAGAATTTCAGCTCTTCAGGTATGTATTATAGTATTTAGAAGTAACTGTGAAATTTAAATGTTCTCAACAACAACAAAAAATTAAGGGAAAAAATTAGCATAAAATCACATAGGGCTATGTGTAGACCAACAATGAGACCACAGAGTGGCCCAAGGACTACGATTGGCATGTGTATGTGTCCATTTCACTATGGCTGGACCACAAGGAGGAGGGAAGAAGTGGAAGTACCAAGGGAGGAGACTGGACCACAGATGAGCTCAGATCACGAAGGGCCTGAAAAGCCGCATGATGGAGTATGGGCACTGTCCTGATGGCAAAGAGAATCCTTCTTTGGTGGATGATCATTGAACTTGAGAGCAAAACCTATAAAAAAAAGAATTGCACAATTGGGAGTCTTTTCATTAAAATGGTGTTCAGAATTCACTAGTTGTAAGATCTCTTAAGTCTTCTCCTGCTTGTACAGTCGCTGACTGTGTATTCTCTTGAGGTCAGGAAATGACTTTAACCTGAGAAGGGAGCAATTTCATGGATTCTCTTAGAGTATTGCCAACCTTCTTATTGTCAATCAGGGAGGTCTACTCAGCCAGCTTCCTCTCACTCTATGACCCTTGCATCAGCTTCCTTATTTTCTGTGATTTCCTGTGGGCTGGGAAATCAGACTGCATGGGTTCCATCTTGACCACATAGTATCTGTGTGGCTCTGAG